CGTTTCACCACGTTTAAGCTCGACAGCCAGTGTTCTTCATTTTTAGAGTGCGTTTTATTTTCCAAGTTTATGCGTTGCGTGACATCAAATAGGCTCTTGTGAAGGTCAATAAAATGAGTCCCCGCGTAAGTTTTCGCTAACTGAACAGTTCTTGCTTTAGAAGAGGTGTTAATTTCAATGTGTCGGCGCTCTAGAGCAATAACTTTTCGCTTAAATAGCAAAATTCAGTGACAGATGTTTCTGTTACTTTACGGCCGCCATGTTTGTGTCCCTACGATGGGCACCAACATGGCGACTCCGCACAAAGCTCTATAAACCCTTCTCCAAATTACGCGCGAATGAAAAACCGTACAGACCTCAATCTTGTTGAGCTTGTTTATATAACAATCATCTATCATACCCCAGATTCTTGAGTAATTTATTGAATTGTTACGATTTTTATTTCTGATGGCGTGACAGTCCAAACCAGCAGCATTGTTTGTTTTCTGTTGTTTCTTTTGGTTGTGGTACTTTGTTTGTTCTCTATTCTTTAGGGTCCGCATGCGATCCACCCATGCTTCGTTGTACCTGTTTCTGTGGATATTTAAAAATGATTTCCAGTCCGTACTGTGCAGTTTCAGCACCTTAATGTTTATTAAACATTATAAATCTCACTCGATGGAATGCCAATCGATGTTATTCATTACGAACCACATACCTTATCCTTGAGACCTTTCAAATTCTTTTTTCAACAATTTCATTGATTTTTACAGTTGCAAAGTTGTTTTTTCAAGTGATATGAGAAAGAACAAAGCTTAAAGCTTTGATTGCTTCACATCCATAATAGCGGTTGTATTTACTTCATGTAAGTAGTTGCCAAATGTTTACATTTTATGATGTCTTACATGAAATAAAACAGAAAATGCAAACAAACTCTTGAGTGCGCAGAATGGACTGGAAATCATCTTTATGTAGTAAATAATTTACATTCGTTTGAAGGTATTACTACTTGTAGTGAATTAGAATGTTTAGTCAACTATCTCAAGCTCATAATCTAATAGTTAAATGGAAACATGATTTTAAACCAATCAGCATAATCGATCTAGGTTATTTTCTAAAAATAAATGTTAAACAGCAAAAATATATGCAAGAGACACCACACCTGTGGCCCTTTAGTTTAACTTGGCACAAAAGAAGTTTAGTTCATAGAAACCTTCATTACGAATGACTAAGCCCTAAGACATTTACTAGCCTATTAAGCTTGAATGTTTAGCCAATCAGTTCAAGTTTGTCATTCGTGATCTGCCTCAGACTTTCTCCATCTTAACCACCCAATCTCCTTCTCGGTTCATAGTTAACGGCATTTCTCCAAGGTTCCCTTTAATTTGAAGGCAACCATGTGTATCAGTCACATATATATGAATGACATGTTACAACTGAGTCAGTAAGTTTGAAGTTGACTTTTGATGTTTTTAGTGGTCTCTTTATCTTTCCTGAGTGCTTCCTGGTGTATGTAAAACATTTTTCCTGCAAGGAGATTTGTAATTAAACTTATTCAACTGCAATCATAAATTAACACTGTTTGCTACATTGTACTTTCTTAAACCAACGTCATTGATCAGTTTTGGCTTATGTTTTGACATGCATGAAAACCTATTTGAAATGAGCACCATTTAGAATCCTATTGATATCTGGGAGCAGGAAACCCACATCAAGACCAAAAGGTTGCAGTCAGTAAGACCATGTTTCTGACTTTTTTCTCGTAATCGTGCTGGATAAAGGAAGTGAAGCCTTGGAGCTGACTGGCTCATAGCTGCCAGAGCTTATCCCGGTTTCTGTGGCATGAAGCGGCTAGGAGTATTTCTACTCCCCCTGGATGGGATGCTGGTCCATCGCAGGTCACTCCCCCGCAATTTGTTAGGTTTTCCCAACAATTCGCCGGTACCCATTTATACTCCTGGGTGGAGAGAGGCACTGTGAGAGTTAAGTGTCTTGCCCAAGGTTCTGGATAAAGTATGTCATCATACATAAGGTGAAACGTTTTAGTGCAGTGTTCTTCATTGAGGTTAATAAAGTTTCTTTCTATTTACTTCCAAGAATTATTGTAGTCGAACTGTAAATGTGCTTTAAGTTTCCTTACTCAGAGGAGATGTGAATTTCCACATAATTTAATTTAACCCTCAGACGTAAATGAGGGGTTGTGCCTCATAAGGTTTTTCAAAGTTTTGAAAAGGCGATTTACTCTAAGAAGCTGAAATGTTCAGTGGCTGTTCAATCATCCTTCGCAAAAATTTTGATATGTCAATAATTGTGTGTCCATCATTTTTGGCATTGCCATGGCAACTGCAAATTCCAAGTAGCTTTGGCCAAAAATTAACTTTTGTGACATAATTCTGCATTTTTTCCATTTTCTTCATCAAATTCCAGAAATTCACCAATTTTTACAATTCATAAGCATTCTGGCTTGATTTTGTCGTAATTTCTGTTATTTCTTGACTTCTTAAGAAAATAGTTAACTCCCAAGGTGGCGGATCCAAAATGGTGGGTCAAATGACGTCATTTGACGTCATATGACGTCACAAGCAACAAATATGGTATCATTTTTGTAGGGCAAGCTTGGGGCTATCTAATTAATGAAAATATTTTTCGCTGTGCCTCAACAGAACGAAAACCCGAGGGACAAGGGGTCCATCCACCCCCTTTTTGTACCACTGTGGGGGGGGGGATGAGTTAGCTTGTACGTCCGAGGCTTTAACCTTAATGATTATTGTTATATTTCTTAGATTTCAGAAGAATCAAGACCAAAGGCAAGAAAAGAAAATTAGATTCAGCTGAGGTTTCCATGCAACAAGCTTGTAAGAGCATTCTTGTCACCGGTCTTTCAGATAACACTACCCATGATGCCATCCAACTGCAATTTGAAAGTCGAAGAAATAGTGGGGGTCCTGTGAAAAGGGTGCAATTTGTAGCCAAAAGTGGTAGAGATATAGTTGTGTTTCAAGACCCAGGAGGTTTGTAACTCATTTGTAGCTGCAGTTAGTAGTCAGCTTGCTTCAGACGAAGAAGTTCAAAACTATATATAGTGCTTGTTCAGCAAATGTTGCATCATTTACCCAAAATTTTGGATGTCTGCCATGAGGGCGTAGCTAGGGGGGTGTTGGGGTGCCCGTGACCCCCCCCCCC